TTCTACATTTTATTAGTATATTTCTAGGATTATGCTGGTTATAGCCTCTCCTGAGCTGAAATAGGTTATTTGTCTGCTACATTTTATACAAATACCAGAGGCATCAAACCTAAAGTAGGTGCTCTGTAGGTTTTCATGAAATTTTGATGTTCTGAGCTGTTACTTAAGATTTCACTTAAGATGTTGTACTTAAGATTTCACAAGCAGTTTCAAACTTATGTGCTTACCTGCTTTGTTATAATGCAAACTGTGGTCAGTTTTCTTCTTGTGGACTTTGTTTCTTCCACCAGAGGTTACAATGAATACATGGACTGGGAGAAGGGGGAAGGACAGCCATTCACATATTTTCTTTTTGGAGCTGCTTGTTCAGAGGTTGAAATTAACTGTCTAACAGGAGATCACAAGGTAATAACTCAATGTCAGAGAAGTTTTGAAAGTAATGTGAATAAGGTTTGCTCCAACAATCATTCAGATTTGGGGTTAATAAGTCACCTGTGTTCACATGTTCACATATATCAATGATGTAAATATGAATTACAGGTGGAGCAGAATGGAAGCTGTGCAGTATTAACCAGCTTCTGACATACATGTCAATGTCATTTGTGTTCACCTTTTGGGTTATGGCTGACATCTAACATGTTCTTTGCTTGTTCTGTCCCTGTTTGCCAGCAAACACCTTATAGCAATATTCAGTTCCCAGGCTTTTGACCATCTGGAGAGCTAAAGGCTATAGACTGATGATGATATGGCCTCTTTCTGTACATTTGTATGAGGGTTTCCTTGAGCAATGGGAAAAATCTGGCAGGGCTGTCTCTGGCCAAACTTGTGTAAAAGTTGATACAAGCCCATTTTGCCTCTGATGAGATATTGGACATTATTCTGAAATTATGTACATGGAGGGCCTCTATCTCAGTATTTCCTATTTCATTGAATTCCAGCTCTAACCCACATTATTTTCTAATGCTTTCATTCCATCTCTCTGGGTGGTATAAATTTAAATTTTATTAACAGAACCTCAGAACAGACATTGTTATGGACATTGGATGCAGCATAAATCCAGCTGTGGATATAGGACAGGTACGTGCCAAGAATTTTCTGATGCCTTATTTCTATTACACTATTGTCCTCATGTGAAATTATGATTACCTCGTTCAGAAAATAGTCATTTCTTACTAGATTATAGATCATATTAGAATGTCTCTTGCCTATAGACTTGCTCCAATTGAATGTGTCAGAACTCTGTAGATGTCAAGCTTGAATTTTACCCATGGTTTCAACCTGTAATACTTCCAGTATGTGTGTATGTCTTCTGTCTACTGGACTGAAATCCTGTTTGTGATTTACAGTCTCCAAGCTGTTTGATCTGCCTTCCTTCCTTGATAGCAAGGAAACATCTTTATTCATTGCAGGCTGGTGCACAGATCTCATCACTTCATCATACAAGCATTTAACTTCTCAGGTATGAGAGAGGAATGTGAAAGCTTTTCCATTATAGTTGCCCCAAAATGTTGAAGCATCTCATTAGGCAGACATTAGTGCATTAGTCCTCACATATATCACAGTCACAGCTAGTGATACAAATGAGGTCTTGGTGAAGTTTTCTTGTTTAACCAAACGTGAGTACATAAATGCTATTTCTTTTCTTATTTAAAGATTGAAGGTGCTTTTGTTCAAGGCGTTGGACTGTATACAATGGAGGAGTTGAAGTATTCTTCAGAAGGAGTCCTCTATACTCGGGGTCCAGATCAGTATAAGATCCCTGCTGTTTGTGATATTCCAGAACAGTTTAGTGTTTCCCTGTTGTCACCTTCTCAAAATCCTTATGCCATCTATGCATCCAAGGTAAGCAGATGATCACAGGCCTAGTTCTTAGATCCCAAGCCAAACTGAGAAATTACTTTGATGTGAAACACATAAGTTTTCAGTTCCTCTCCTTTAGCATTTCAAACAAGTGTCCAGTAAATTGTTTTATTTATAACATCAGGGAAGCTAATAAGAAATAAAGCCAGATATTGTTGTGTCACTTCAATGGTTGGCAAGTAGTGATTTTAGAGTTTTGTTAACAGACCATACACAGAAAGCTGCAAGATCAATTTAAAACCATACTTTTAAATGTGGTGATAAACTGAAAAGTTAGAATAACTGAAAAGTTAGAATAAAAATATTAATTGATGGAGAAATCATAATGTCATTCAGAGTATGCAGCTTACTCATGTGTGCTATGCAATACAAAGTAGGACTGTATGTGTGTATTTATATGAGAGACTAGCTTTTTAAAATCTTTTTCAGGGGATAGGTGAGGCAGGATTTTTCTTGGGATGCTCTGTGTTCTTCGCTTTGAGGGATGCAGTAACTGGTGTGAGGAATGAAAGAGGAGTGAAAAAGACCTTTGCACTGAACAGCCCCCTGACTGCTGAGCAAATACGGGCAAACTGCGCTGATGCCTTTACTGAGATGGTAAGAGAAGCTGGGGAAGGCTCTGTGCTACAATGGCTGGGTAGGAATGTTTGCTGATGTTGGCACGCCTAAATAGGGGAGTGCCTAGTGATGTCTCCAATCAGTCATGCTTTAAATACAGCTCCTTGTAATTGAAATGTCTGGTAACAGGTCTCATTTACACAAGTCATTTCAACAAATGCCATTCAAACATTGTATTGGAATTTCACTGGGCTTTGTCTATTTTTTTTTTTTGCTTTGAAATCTAGATCATTTTTACAGCCCTCTCTTTCCCTGAACCCTCCTCCTTTCTTCTGCATGTCAAATTCCATAGAGGATTAAATAGCTTATCTTATTAACGTGCAATGGATCAGGCTCTAAGCCTTCTTCAGTCTCCTTCCAGGTGCTTTGCCCCACTGACTGCATGCTGGCACTGTCACTTCATTCTAGTTCTCCTTGCTATGCCCAGTACTCTTAGAGAGACATAATTAACTCAGAGCTAATACAAAGAGACAGAAGTAAAACAAACAAAGCAATACACTTCATATAATGCTGATCCTTTGTGCTCTGTTTTCTGCAACTGTTCACTGTAGTTCCCACTGTTATTACAATTCTTTTTTTGGGTAAGTTTTTACTTAGTGAGGCAAGGTCCTTGTCAGCATATAAATCCATGCTGTGCCTTGAACCTCTGAGGCTCTGCTGTGGAAACTCTTGAGCTCTCATTCACAGATTACTGCCATGGTATTTCTGTGACTGTGGTGAGGCACCACTGTCCCCTGAATCAGTAGGTTTGTGGGTTTACTCTGATTGCAGGAGCTTGCAGGAGGTGAGGTCCACCAGAGCAGGGACCTTGCTTCTCCATCCCTCTTTAGTCCTAATCCCAGTTATCACTGACTTGGAGGCACCTGATAAGGGCAATGTTGGGAGGTTGCCAGTCAAAGTCACTGTTGTCATTTCTTGCTTATCTCTTAGATGGCAAACAATGAAGCTTCTTCCTCCTTGGGCCACATCTGTGTGAATGACAAACCATAGTGCACAAGACTGGAATGGAAAACTGATTTACTGCCCCAAGACATACTAATCAACACACAGATAAATGTATTTTCTCTTTTTCTGAATAGAATCAGCTACCAAAAATATGCACTTTATATCTTACATCCTTATCTTCATTCTTCCTCCAGTGTGCACGTTACAGTATTTTGTTTAAATGATTGCATTTAATTGTCAGAAATAAATCTTCTGCATTTGAACCATATGTTTTCAACAAAAAAGATCTGCTGATCAGCACAGCTTAAATACTACAGAAGAGCAAAGTTTGAATGAAGTGTAAAGGTATGCTGGATAACTTACTGTCATGTATTCCACTAAACAACTTCATATGATAAATGATTTGGTAATGGTTTCAGCTAATCTTCTAATTTAGACTTGAGTCTCGCAGTGAAGTGTAAGTGCAGAGATGTTTGTCAAAGAATCAGAATCTTGTTTGTTGGATTCAGAACCTTTTTGACCAGAAGTGATACTCTGACTTGTAGTAAAGCTGGTTTAGAATCTTTTGGCACAGGTATCTTTGTGTTAAAAACATGCAAGAAACAACAGTTATGATTCTCTTTTGCTATGCCAGGCAAGTTACCATGGCTAGTCTAGATACATAGACTTTTATCCCAAAAGCTGACAGAGTTGTAATTTCCACCAGAAGCTTTCTTTATCTCATGGAGCAAGCCAAAAGCGTCTGAACAGAATGGGAAAATTGACGTGGAGTTCAGTGTGCTTTGAATGGGAGAATGGATGACATGTCAGCCTGCAGGCTCTAATTATTCCACCACCTCTCAGTGTTCCACAATTTCTCTTGTCTTCCCTTCAATTGTTGAGCTGAGATGTATCTGTGACAGAAATCAGGTCAGTCATTTTTAACAGCTTTTGCATTGGCTATTAAGATATGAAATCTTTATTGTTTCAATTTGTCTCTGTAACCATGATGAGTCGGTGAAATGCAGTTGCTTAAACATAGGTGTCTAGACCATTTTAGATGTCATAAGGCAGTAGAGACATGGCACAGGAGAGCACAGGACTGGAAGAAATGATACAGCAGCTTGAGACCAGGCAGGTAACAGTAATTGTAATCAGTGGAAGTGGTACTGAAGGTGACTTAGGCAGCTGAAGCCTTTTTGGGGTTTACTTCATTTTCTTCACTTTCTTTGTATTAATTTGGCTTTTATATATTGCTAGAAGTCAATAAATTAAATGTGAATGCTGCTGTCACCGTTAGTTTTTCTGATTTGAAACATCTTCTTAATTTCACTCTTTGGTGTTACAGTCTGATTGTAAAAGATGCCTCTGCCTAAGGTGCAAATGAGAGCCTGTGCCAAAGTCAATATTTCCAGAGTCATTCTTCTGGAAGTACTACCTTTCTAGAGTCCAGGTCCTGGGTATCCATGGGGCATACATGCCATTCCAATCATTTAGGATTGTGTGTGTATAAGCTTTTGTTTCCTTTCCCATATTTTGTCACAGTGGGAATTTTTTCGCAGTGCTAACCAAACCTTTACTTCTGTTAGGTCTGGAATCAGGTCCTTCCTGCTGTGCCAACTGTGCTTATCTCAGGCTCCATTATCTTAAGGGGGCTGTGTTTTGAGACCGACAACAGTCCTAACATAAGGGTTTAAGTCCTTTAAGTCCTTACATATGGGTTTGTCAAGGACAGCTTGCAACCCCACATGTCGATAACAGCCCAAAATATGTGTGAATCTGGGATATACTGAAGCAGGGAGCCTACAGATCTACTGAACTGGGGGGGGGGAGTTCTATTGTCTCTTGTTGACCTATGTGCCAGCATTGGTGCTTGTTCATTACAGGCAAGTCAAATCTTGTAAAAGCCTTGCCCAAACCTTGCAGACAATGATGTCTCCCTGCCTGCAGTACTGAAGTGTTCACACTCCAAGGATTCATCACATTCGAGACCCGCACTTTGTTTTCTGCAGTGCAAACCTTGTCTTCTCAGTCATTATTAACAAAGATTCCTCCCTGCCACTTTACAATGGGCTCTTTTGTCTAGTTGCCTCAGTAAATTCTGTAAATGTAGCAAATATGGGTTATTGAGTTTTCTTGGTCTGAAGCATATTAAGCTGTCTGTTGGCTTTTAAGTGTTTGAAAAACTTCCTGGAAGTTAGAAATTTCAGCAACTGACCAGCCTGACAGATGATAACGTGGTTACATTGGATATTATGAAAGAAGTATTCTTTATCTATAGGGAGGCAGATAAACAGAAATGTTTGACTTCAAAGGCACTGACATATTGGATGGCTATTGATACCTGAATGTGCACTGCAGCTGCAAACTACACCCAAACTGGAGATGGTTCAGAAGAACTCTTCTACTGATTTTCTTCATGAGAGCAATGTTCCTACCCTCAGCAGGCCCATTCCATGGGGTGAAAGCTTAAATACCTAACATAAATACTAGGTTGATTTGGAGGGTTAGCCTGTAAATTAGATATTGGACTGCCAAAATCAAGGATTTTGTCTGGTTCTTTATGTTCTTAGGCTTTTGAGCCTGCATTGTTGTACCTACAATGCATGAGGAATGCTGCAGTGGTTACTACTACTGCACTTGGTAGGACCCATTAGGGCTTTTTCCTGCAGGGACCTAGTGACTGACATCACTCCAGGGTTTGTGTTTTGGTAGCTCTCAGGGAACCACAAAACCAGCAGCTTATCTCTGCTGAGAATCACTTTATTGCCTTCCAAGGGGAGTGGTGGAAGATCAGGGACTGGCTACTTCACCCTGCAAACCTTCACTCGCTCCAAGTGAAGTACAGACAGCTTTGCTGTAAAATGTAAAAATAGTAAATGAAACAAAAGACAGGTATGTACAATGAAGACTTAAAAGATGTATCCATAATTCCCCTTAGAAAAAAGAAAATATCAGCTGTAGCAAGGCATTTAAAGATTATTTTGTTTCCTGGACATGTATACATGCAAATGGATGAGAATCTAGAATCCCAAATCAGGATTTGGGATTTCTCTCTTTAAGAACACGTCATGTGTGGAATGTGGTACCCACAGCAGAAAGGCCATAGAACTGGCATGGTATAGAGATAGCCAGAAGAAAACTTTAAATCTATGTATAGTAGTAAAGTTGATTTTGTTAAAATTTGCCTATTCTGCTGAAAGAAAAGATTATACATAGTTCAGGTCATGCCAAAATGAGAATTATGGCTCCACAGCTTTACTTTTGACACTGTAGAGAGGAGGGTAATGTTGAATGTCCTTGGTTTTAGCTTCAGGCATACCTATGTATTCTAAATTCATCAGTTACTGGATAATATACAGACCTGGAAATAAACAGGATAAACAGACTTGGAAGTTGTAGTTCAAACCCAGTTTCCCTCACAATTATCTTTTATGTTACAGGGTTAGAATCAGAGGAGCTCAATTTCTTTGCAGATTATTTCAGGTCACCAGAGAAGAGTTAGGGTGGGGAGTAGGAGGTGGTGCATTAGCATCAGAACATGCATTAATTACTGAGAAATGGCACACATTGCACTGGCTCATCCCCACCTGCTTATTTTCAGACTGAGCATCAAATTAAATTCTTCAGGACAAAGCAAACTCAGTCGACCTTTAGAAGCATACAGCGTTTCATTAATTTCTCTTGATGCATAAAGCTGTATTTTGATGCAAGAGCATGGCTTGCTCTCAACATTCAGATAAGCAAATCTTTTTTGTGACTGGCAGAAAGGTAAGTTATGAACAGAAAGGTAAGCTGATTAACAGAACATAGCTATACAATCCAGCACTGCATTTTCCCACAGTAGGCATTGCACCCAATATGGCTGCAATACATTTGTTATTACCAGTTTCAGGAAATACTGAAAGATCTTTCTTAAGGCTTGATGTATTTCAAGCAAGGGTTGAAGAGTGGTTAGTCTGATATCCTCCTGTTGAGTAGTCTGTGAATAGATGTAACAGAATTAAAGATAAAAACTCAATTTGGACAGCCTGAATTTTTGAATGCAACTCAACCTGTAAAGTGTTAAAACTCCTTGTCACCCTAGGAAAGAATCTCATCTGTTCACAGACTCACAACTTAACCTGGATGTGTGTATTCTTCCCCCACACCCCTTCAGTTTCTTTGCAGATCCTTTTAGGTCTTTGCAATCCAGAACAATTCCCACCCATGGATCCAATACAGGAAATTGTTTCCTCCTGAGCCAGTGGTGGACCTTACTGACATTTGTTATCCCAAGCGTAACGGAGTTCCTACAAATGTTGAAAACCTGATGTTTTTGTGAAACTGAAAGATCTGTCCTCAGATAAGTAGAAGGTGCTAGTTTTAGTCACACGTAATGAGACATTTCAATGTGAATAATCTACATGTTAACATTATTACAAATACCTAACTTTTTAAAAAATTAATTTGTTTGCCTCTGCAAAATCAACTTTTCCCATAAGAGCTTTTTTGGTTGGTTTTTGGGGTTTTTTGTGGGGTTTTTTTTGTTTGTTTGTTTGTTTGTTTTCTTTGTGGATTGTAGTATTTTCTCTGAAAGATCCCAAATGAATTTCTCCATCTTTTCTGTCTTCTAGTCTCTGTTGGATGGCTTCTTCCAGTTGGGACATAGGCACTAACAACCTGAGACTGGACTTAGGTACAGATCCACAGGAAAGGCAATGGACTTGAAAAGGAAAGAAGGTTAATTCCAGTAGTTACTGAAATTCACAGGACAGATGAAAACTTGAAAGGGGGGAGGAGGAGGAAAGGCCCATGATCTGCAGGCAGAGGCAAGAGATCTGTGAGAATGGTAGTGCAGGATTTACCCAGACCAACTGAGTAGAATTCAAGCAGTCAGGTTCAGAGTCTTTTTTTAATCCTCAGTCATGTTTCAGTAGCTTCTTGCAAAATTCTTTGTTTGCATTCCTTTTGCAAATATTCGTGGGCAGTTCTTGCTGCTGTTACACAACCACCTCACAAGCACAAAAGTTCATTTGAGTTCTGAAAGTGGATGGCACAGTTCTTTGGTTTGTCATGATATCACAGAGTGCTATTTGCTGCAAGGCAGTTGGCTTTGTAAACATTTGTCAGAGTGCAACTTTCTTATTTAATGATTGCCTCTCAGTGCAGAACATTGATAGTAAGGCATAAAATCCTTTATGAAACCATGAAAGGGAAGTAAATCTGCCTTTCTGCTACGTGCCCTGCCTTTGAGACTCATGCTTTAGAATGCAAGTATTAATTTAATGTTTTACAAATCTTATACTTGGATTAAAGATCATGGCTAAACTGCTGCTGGTTGATAAAGCTGGTCAGACAGAAAGAAGATGCCACCATCTGCTCTGCATGTTCTGACTGAGCTGCCAGGAGGAGTGCACTGCTTCTCCAGCCCACACAAGATATCCATAGCAGTAAGATTATGATTGGTTCCACAGACACCAAGTGCATTTTTGTTTTTCACGCATGTCATTTACCTGGAAGGCCAGTCCAGAGTTGAACAGATCTTTGGCTTGGCTGATGGTGGTTTAATTGCATTTTCTGCAAAGATAGGTGTTTCTCAGGGATTGCTTTTGCATATTTTGAAGCCATGATTCCACATGGCACTTGTTAAGTATGAAAAGAACATATATTATATCCTCAGGAGGTAAAAAAGGCTCTCTCTCTCTACATATATATATATATAAGAAACAAGGTGGCAGAAAACCACTTTGATTAACAAGGGCTGGGGCACTGCCTGCAGCCAGCCCGGGCACAGCCCAGAGGCACAGAGAGCTTCAATCAGTCAGGGCTGGGAAGGTGCTGAGAAGTGCCTGGGGCAGAATCACTGCCAGCCCTTGGCACAGGAACCTCTGGCTGCAGGACAATGCAGCTGCAGCTGCTGCACTTCTGCCTCTTGCTGGGCATCTCCCTGGCTGCCCTCCTGGGCAACGGCCTCATCATCAGCGCCGTAGCCTGCGGCCACCACCTGCACACGCCCATGTTCTTCTTCCTGCTCAACCTGGCCCTCAGCGACCTGGGCTCCATTTGCACCACTGTCCCCAAAGCCATGCACAACTCTCTCTGCGACACCAGCACCATTTCTTATAAAGGATGTGCAGCACAGGTCTTTTTCTTGCTTTTCTTCATTGGAGCAGAGTTTTCCCTCCTGACCATCATGTCATATGATCGCTACGTGTCCATGTGCAAACCCCTGCTCTACGGGACCCTCCTGGGCAGCAGAGCTTGTGCCCACGTGGCAGCAGCTGCCTGGGCCAGTGCCTTTCTCAATGCTCTCATGCACACAGCCAATACATTTTCCCTGCCCCCGTGCCATGGCAATGCCCTTGGGCAGTTCTTCTGTGAAATCCCTCTGATCCTCAAGCTGTCCTGCTCAAATTCCTACCTTTGGGAATTTGGAGCTCTTATGGGGACTGCTTTTCTGTTATTCAGCTGTTTTGTGTTTATAGTTTTCTCCTATGTGCAGATCTTCAGGGCTGTGCTGAGGATCCCCTGCGAACAGGGACAGCACAAAGCCTTTTCCACCTGCCTCCCTCACCTGGCTGTGGTCTTCCTATTCATCAGCACCTCATTTTTTACTTATCTTAAGCCACTTTCAATGTCCTCCCTATCCCTGGATCTGGCCCTCTCAGTTCTGTACTCAGTGGTGCCTGCAGCCCTGAACCCCTTCATCTACAGCCTGAGGAACCAGGAGCTCAAGGCTGAAGTGAGGAGACTGATGACTAGATGCTTTCAGGAACATTAAACTGCGGGCCAATTTCTGAAAATCACTTATAATAAAAGACATCTTTGATACTTCTTCTTGGTTTAATTTCTGAGGTTCTTTTTATTTGTTTTACTTTTAAAATTGTGTCCACAAAGAAATATCATTTTTTTTGTGCCATTTCTCATTTTGATTCTCTCCACCTTCCCTGTGGCCACAAACTCTGCCAATGAGGAGCTGCACTCTCGGAGGCTTTAAATGAACTAAAGGATCTCCCAGCAATGTTTTCTGCAGAGATGCCCTTTTGTTGCCTTCTCTGGAGCTGCAGCAGCAATGTCTGTGTGCAGAGCTTTGGGCAAATCAGTGCTGGCCCAGCAGCTGTGCCCAGCAGCAGCAGCAGCACTTGGTGTTGCCAGTGCTGCTGCCGTGGCCCTGCCCCGCTGCCCTGGTGGTCCTGGTGTTGCTGCAGGGCCTGAGTGCTCTCGGGGCCGGGCACAGTCCTGGGGGTGGCAGTGCCGGGGCTGCAGCAGGGACAGGCCATGGGCACTGCTGGGGCAGTGCTGACGCCTCAGGCCAGGCCCTGGGGGCTGCAGGCTCCTTGCCCAGGCTCTCTCAAGAACACGGCCAGGCCAATGCTCAGCACAGAAAAGCCCCAGGGTGAGCAGCCCCAGGCTGGCCGTGGGCAGGCTGGGGGCAAACAGCATGGCTGGGGCTCTGCAAGGGCCCTGGGGGAGACGGGAAGGAGCAGCAGAGCAGGGGCTGATCCATCCCCAGTGCGCTGCACAGCCCAGGGCAGCGTCCCAGAGCATCCTCATGGAGCTGCCAACAACATCCCCCCTCTGCAGCCCTGGCCTCTCCCCCAGCTCACAGAGGTGCTGCATCCTTGCAGGCACAGACACGGCAGCACTGGCTCAGGAGCCCCTGTTTGCATTGCACAGAGCAGGCGGGAGCACCCCCATGCTCTTGCTGTGGGGACATGAACCTGAGGGAGCACAAATGCCATCAGCCCCTGGGGCCAGCAAGGGCTGGGGGACACCAGGAAAACCACTCAGCTTTGTCCTGGCCTCTGCAGTCAGCCAGAAAGGTTGTTCCTGCCACAAGCAATTCCTTGGCTTCACTTCTGCTTTCTTAACCCATCCCTGATCCAGATTTCTTCCTATTGCCCAGCCCTGTCCCCTCCCCTGCAAATAGCCCATCTCCGTTTGCCCTTTCCTCTCTGGCCCCACTCCCCATTGCAGTTCTTGACTTGGCATCATGGAAACATGCTTGGGGAGCAGGATCATCCTCCAAGTGCTGCAGGAATTGTCTGCAGGCTCCTGCAGTACCTCGTGCTGCTCCCTTGCCAGAGGCACCAAAGTCAGAGGGGCACATCTGGGCTGCTGTGTCTGCCTGTGGGGCTCCCAGTACAGGGCAGTGAGAAGGAGCTGCAGAGGCTCTGCAGGACTGACAGGATGGGTTTTGGGGCTGGCAGGAGAAGCTGAGTGACCTCCATAACTCTCACTTTTTTTTTCTTTTTTTTTTTTTTTCAGTATCCATGCCATGGGTCTGATATTTTCCCCTCCGAGATATGTCTTCCTCCTTGATATTTTCCTCAGGTTTTGCAGTATCTGTCAGGTTAGTTTTGGCATCTCTTTTTCTTTTGTGCTGCATCTCGTTTCCTCCCAGGCCATTTTCTTGTGTCGTCAGAGCAGTCTGGAGGCTCCCGGTTCCTGTCCAGCAGGTCATAGGAGATGGATTCTGCTCCGGGCTGTTCTGATACGAGCTCTCTTGCTGAGGTGGAGTGCGATGTTTTCCCTGGCTGCTGCTTCTTCAGAGTCTTCTGGCTGCGTTCCCAAGGAGTTATCAGTGCTCTCCCGGGAACGAGTCCCACTCCGGGAACTGCCCGCCTGGGAGCTGCCCGCTCGGGTGCTGCCCACCTGGGTGTTCTCTCTGCATCTCACTCTTTGTCTCTCCGCTGGGCTGTCCTTCGGGCCCTTTGTGCTCACTGCTCGGGCTGCCGCTCGGGCCGCCCACCCAGGGACGCCAGATGCCGGGCTGGAGCGTGTCCACAGAAGGGCAACGAGACTGGTCAGGGGTCTAGAGCACAAGTCTTGTGAGGAGTGGCTGAGGGAGCTGGGGTTGTTTATCCTGGAGAAGAGGAGGCTCAGGGGATGCAAGGCAGTGTCATGGCACAGGTTGGACTTGATGATGTCCAAGGTCTTTTCCAGCCTTGCTGATTCTGGGGTTCTCTGAAACCACCCTTGGAGCAGTTGCAGGATGGTAACTGGTCATTTCAAGAGTTTCAGTCTCAGCAATATTGCACTTAAATCTGGTGGAAATCTGCAGCTGCGTAAGTCTAGAAGGAAGCTTGTGTTCTCTTAAGTTGGTTTGGTGGTTTGGCCTTTTGGGGAGCAAAGAACTGAGCTGCAATTGCACCTCCAGTCCTACACCAGCACAGAGAGTATTCCCCATGTTGTCTCCAGCTCTGTGCTGCTGTGTTTGGCAGCCTGTCTTTTTTACATTGTACTTAAAGGACCTCCACTAGAACAGTGGATGTGTTTATACTGTCTGCTAACAGACACTGCCTAGATCCTGAAGGTACGATGAGACCTGCTAGTCAAAGAACCCGTGTTTAAACGCAGTAGAGAAGGCCTGTGCTTCTGGAGCCTAGGGACTTTGCTGTGTGTCCGATGGGCACAGCTTGTAACTGACAGTCCTGTCTGCACACACTACAGCACGTCAAGTGCTTGTTACCACCAGGATCTGAAATAAGAAACTATTACAACTGCAAAGCAAATCTCGGGTCAAGCAGCACAGCAGGTATGGTATTGAAGTTCGATGCACCGCGGGTCCCGGTGCTGCCACCCGCGCTCCCTGGGCCGCAGAGCAGCCAGAGCGGAAGTGTCCCCGCGGAGCCGGGCTGGCTCCGCCGCAGGGAGCGCGGGGAGTAGCAGGCGCTGGGTCCCGGTAACGCGGGGCAGGGCTTGGCCGGGCAGCTCCCCTGGCGGGGCAGAGACCCCCGGGAGCCAGCAGCACGTGCGACCGCCCCGTTGCCCGCCCCTTCCCTCCATCCTCTGGGGCGGGGCGGGGCGGAGCGCGGCCCTCCCCTCTTCCTCTGGCGTCGGTTCCGCTCGCAGAGCTCTCGCTGCCGCCGCTCCTCGCTGCCGTTCCTGCCCGTCTCCGCTCCGGGCCGCTCGGGCATTTTCTCTCTGCCTTAAAGTCGGTGAGGAAACGGGCGCGGGTGGCGGGCGGCCGGCTGGGGCCGGCTGCGGCAGCCTGGGCCGTAAGGGCCGCACCGCGGCGCGCTGCGGTGGAGGCCGGGGGAGGGAGGTGGTGTAACCCCTTCTTCCTCCCCTGCTCGGGTGCCGGGAGCGGGGCAGCGGTGGCGGCAGCGGTGCCGTACGGCGGGGCCGAGGGGCGAGAGGCGCGGGCAGGGCCACGGGCACAGGCAGGGGCACCGCGCGGGCCCCGGCTCCGCCCTGCGNGTGCGTGCCGGGAGCCGGGCGGGGGCCGGCGCCGCCCGCAGCCGCCCAGCGCCGCGGGAGCTGGAGGAGGAGCGGCCCCTGCCCGCAGCGGCCTCACCGGTGTCTCTGCTTTCTTGCAGGGTGTCTTTTATGAATAATCAAAAGCCGCAGAAGCCGACACTATCGGGCCAGCGTTTTAAAACCAGAAAAAGAGGTGAGTTACCGCACCGTGCCCGCTGCCAGGACCGGCTGCCAGCGCTGTGTTTACGGTAAAACGTCGGTTTCTGTCAGTAAGCAAACCAGTGCCTTCGTGCATTCACTGTAAATTTTTTACATGAGACCGTGCTAAGTACAGAGTTTTGAGGCTGACTGGAATTTTCTCTACATTAATAAACAATATCTGGCAGTCAGAATTATCACTGAATTTACTGTAATAACCTTTGCCTAAAAGATGGTCATTCTAGAACTGTCCTGAGTGTGTGGCCTGCAAGCAGAAGGACCTAGTACCTCTGAATTACAGGGGAGCTCCAGCACAGGCTTGTTGCAGGTTAATACATCCATCTAAGGAGCATCTAACATAGTAAGAATTTCAATCTTAGCCACTGGATAAAAGTTATGTTGTCCTCTTTTAAATTTTTTTAAACCTGACAGAAAAAACCCACAACAAAATCGTACAAATATACCCACCCACCTATCCCCCAGGCAACATCCAAAAAACTCCCAGAGTGTGGGATATGCAAAGGCCTATCTCTGCATGCACAGTTACTGCCATAAGAAGAGTTAGTGACTGAAGAGGTGTGATGAGGAACTGTGTATTTTGGTGGAGCTTTTTTTCAGCCTGAAGAAGAAGTGGGGACACTTTTAGAATTCCTGTTCAGTACAGTTTTACTTGTATACCAGTAGAATTCCAGCTGTAACAGGAATACAGCTTTAGGCATGCTGTACATGCAGAAGCACACATGGATTTATAGAACCTGTTTGAACGTCAAAGCATCTCAAAAATCTCTTGAATATTAGAGTTTGCTGTGGTCTGTCCAGCAGATGTAATGCCAGCAACCAGGGGTTTAGTCTCTTTTTAAGCACTTAACCATAGTTTGGCTGTGAAGCAACTCTTCTGCAACAGTGAACTCTGTGGTTCTGCCCTGGAAAATAACTGATCCAGTATTTCCAAAGTGGTACCCAGCTTTTACCAGTGTGTTGATACTTGCATTGACACTGGACACCAGTATGCCCTCTGGGCTGCTAACAGAATTGGTTAAGATGTTGTAGACAACACTCAAAATAAGATCTGCAGTTGAGTTCTCTTATCTTTGGAAGCTTTTAATCTCGTGATTTCCATAATCTAAAGACTAATTGACATGAGGAAAATTGAAGCTCTCTTTAAGACTTTCTGTTAGTTACATGGGTGGATTTGTTGCATGTTGACTATACCTTGCCTGTAGCAAAAACAAGGCAATGATCAGTTGATGGATCAGGTATGAAGACACATCAGGAGTGTTCTGCTTATCAACAGCAAAGGATGTTAAATAGCTCTGTAGTTAAGGCTATTAAGTTAGCTGTATGTCTCCATTTCCCCCAAGCACTTGAGGAAAAGTTATTGCCTCAAACTCACTTAGCTGCAGGTTAACATGAGGGGATGGTCTTCATAGCCAAAAAGTGAATTTCCAGGTGACTCAGATGCAATAATGGTATGCAGTTTGTCAGTCAGAAGATTTCATCCGAAACAGAGAGAGGCCCAAAAAGCTGAGATAAAACATGAATAATGGAGTCCAATGTACAGAATTATAGGGGCATGTATTAAAAATCGCCTTCCAACATGAGCTAAGTCTCTGGTGTT